AAGGGCCCTTGTGAATCGTTCAATACCATATCGAATTAATACATCTCAACCGATTAGTATTGGAGGTTCCATTTCTCCAGGTAGTATTTCTGCCATTAGGGACAGTTTGAATTCGCCGCAAACGATTCTAATCTTAATTTGTCCTATACGGTCTTTCTTTAACGAGTCAATACCAAATTGTATTTGCCCTGTACTCTGGGTAATAGTACCTTCTAGTTTATCGGCTAGGGATTTAGGTATGCTTGTCATGGAGGCTCCTGTATCTAACTCGGCATATGTATCGATGAGGCCTTCCTTGGTTTCGATGGCTAATGGTACTGTCCATGGGTTGATTTCCCTTGACATGCCGATGATAGAGATCTTTTTGATAATCGGTTCTTCTTCGTCGGCGTCTTCGAAGGATTCTTCTTCAGCGGATACCCAATCCACTTCTTCTACTTCTGACTTATTCGCAACGATTTCTTCCGGTTCGGGTTCCGGTTCGCGAGGGTATTCTATCTTCTTGATGGCCCTGGGAGTGAACGGTCTCTTGTTAGGTCCACCTGGGGATGGTGTCATACGGTGTTTACCAGGAGTATCCAATAGCATTGGTCGTGAAGGAGTTGGAGGTAGTCGTCTTGGCAAGTCGGTATTGAAGGGACTAATATTGGAACGTCCAAAATAACTCGTGTTCGTTCTGGACGAATTATTATCGATCCGGTCATTGGGATTATAATGGTTTACACAGGTTGAACCAAAGGATACTTGTCTTTGCAGTTCCTTCTTCGGTCTAGTCGTGTCTTCCACGCCTTGAATTCTGCAGAATACCTTGTACTCTGTCTGAGCGATGGTGTACAACAACCTGATATTGGGAGGGTCTTCCCTACACACTTCGGTATTCATGAGGATAAGTCTGCATAATTCTTTCAGTAGCAAGTCGTAAAAGATATTTAGCAGGAGTTCTTGCTTATCATCATTCTGACCTGCTCTCTTCCTTAGGCAGTCAAACTCGTAGGTGTAGCTGGTGATATTATCAGAACAGGGGTTAAAACGCATCTTTTGAAGCTCGGCGAAATGTGCCCCTTCATTCTGGATGGGCATGAATACCTCCAGGAACAGTTCCTTCAATTGGCGCCAATTTTCAGGGATGGTCTGGTTCTCGGCACAGTCCTCCAAACTGAGGACATCGTCGTCCAACATACGGGCTGGCAGCCACAGGGATCCCTATCTCTCAATGTCAATACCGTGACATTTGAGGACTCTTTCAAATAAGCGGAGGAACACCTCAGGGTTGGCATAGTGATTCTCCTTGTCCACTTCGTTAAGGGGACGGAAGGATGGAAGGTCGTTTGGTACCCTTAGTACTGGTTCAGGTGTGTTCTGAACGACTCGGGATGGCTGATTACTGTTCAGGTTGAAGTGGGGTGGACTCGGCCACTCTCTAGCAGGAGTGTTCAGCATGGACTGATGAGTTCTCATACCGATGACTACAGGAGTACTGGGGAAAGAACAGAGGTTCTTGTTGCTAGGACCAGCTCTTCCAGCAGGGGTCGTAGTGTCCAATAGTCCAGGCAAGCCTGCACTTTGCAGACGGTGTTGCCTTAGGACATTGGTAACGTATTCATTTAACACGTTGTGGTCATTTTCGAGCTTTTCAAAACGACTCTCCGTTTTTTTTTCGAGCTCAATGAGCTTTGCCATGATGTCGGCTAAGGTGGGCTCAGGTGCCTAGGGTGTCTTCTGTTGAGACATGGGTGAAAAAGTTTCTCAAGATAAAAAGAGATAAGGGGAAAAGTCTTTCAGGGGAGGTAAAAGGAAAAAATGACAGACCAGGGTCGTCCGGGACGAGCCTCAACTGTTCTGGAAAAGTTGTTGCTGAAAGACTTTCGTCCTGAATGGTTAAGAATCGTTCAGAACGGTAAAGGAGGGAAAAGCACAAGGGTGCATGAATAGCAGAACAAAATATCGTTCAGGATGAATCTGAACGGGGATAGGGAATATGACTAAAGATTGTCAAATAGAAATCGTCCGGAATGACAATGGACAGTAAAGAATGATTTTATATAGAAAACAATAGGGTTTAACTATAACTCTTCAAATCCTTTCAACCACAACTTTAATTTTAAATAAATAAAAGTATGATTTTATAAAAGGTAATGAAGATAGGGAAACTCTCCATTAAACTAAACTAAACTAATAAAGGATAAGTGAGGAATGTAATCCTCAGATCATAATCCTGATTGATTCAGAATCACTCTAATCAACTGAAAGTTGTTCAGGGTGATCCTGAATCGTTCAGGACGAAATAATCCCATCTGGGATCATTCAGGGCAGACCATGTGGGCTATGGCCCAACAGTAGGATTCCATTCTACGTCAAAATAGAATGGATGTAGTATTGATCTATGTCTGAAACATAATTACTTCATTTGAGATATAGTCATATTGATGATATTAAATGTTACTATTGGTACCATTATTGTGATTATAGATATACTTGATCATTGATTGATTTGATGATTTTATTTAAAATAAGCTATGATAAAAACTAAAATGATGAAAAAATGCTATTCACATCTTTCTTCTTTGCATGCATTTTGAGAATTAACTGTATTGTTTGCATTAATAGGAATAGTAACTAGTATCATGTCATTGTTCAGATTGATAGACCAGGGTCATCTGGGATGAACCTCAACTGTTCTGAAGTTGTTTTCTGAAAAACTTTTGTTCTGAATGGTCAGGAATCATTCAGAATGGGAGGAAAGGGCAAAGCACAAGGGTGCATAAATAGCAGAATGAAATGGGATTGTTCAGAATGATTCTGAATGAGGGGAAAAGAATGTGATAAAGGAATATCAGGTAGGAATCGTCAAGAATGATAATGGACAGAGGGGAATAATTCAAGATAAATAATAACTTATAAACTATAGCTCTTCAAATCCTTTCAACCACAACTTTATTCTTAAATAAATAAAAGTATGATTATATAAAAGATAATGAAGATAGATAAACTCTTCATTGAACTAAACTAAACTATTAAAAGGAAAGTAAGGATTAGAATCCTTATGTCAGAATTCCGGTTGATCCAGGATCATTCTGATTAACTGAAAGTTAATTAGAATGACTCTGGATCATTCAGGATGAATCAATTTCATTCATAACTGTTAGCAGCGGATAATGTAGGCTATGGCCTAACAAGTGTGACAAGTCTAAGTCCATACCCTTTGATTATCATACTAAAAGGCTATTCTGAAGCCAACATTGGCTTCAGAGTGTGGATATTATAGATAAAGTATATAAAGGGAACCCATAACCCTTCACAGTTAGTCTTGATTTGTCAAGTTTACTGCTTCTCTCATTCTACCATTCTATCCATTGAGACTCCTTTGCAATATGCCCTGCAATCTTCTTGGCTTCATTGATGAGTTCTGCAAAGGTAGTATCCTGGTTGGCCTTCTTAGCTAGCTCTGTTGCTATCTTGTTACTAACAAATTTTAACAACCTATAACACTTCAGATCATTGAACTACAATATTGCATTCATAAAGGCTTTCAGTATCTCTAACTGCTTCTCTCCTCCTTTCTTGTCTAGTGGCTTTGCCAGTTCCTTCTCTGCTATCTCATCAGCATTCCTTTCAACCACATCATCAGTAGCGTAAAATTTGATAAACTTCACAATAGTCAGGTCCCATTTCTTTCTACATACTTGATAACATATCTGTAAGAGATGACTTTGGCTCTCATCTAGGAACCCTTTCAAGTAAGTAATACAATTTTCCTCTCTTACATTCATTGCCTTTGTTTAAGACTCAAACTAATCTATATGTTGGGCCATAGCCCACATGGTCCGCCCTGAATGATTCCAGATAGAATCATCTCATCCTGAACGATTCAGGATCACCCTGAACAACTTTCAGTTGATCAGAGTGATTCTGAATCAATCATGATTATAATCTGAGGACTACATTCCTCATTTACCTTTTATTAGTTTAGTTTAGTTCAATGAAGAGTTTCACTATCTTCATTTTACCTTTTATATAATCATACTTTTATTTAGTTAAAAATAAAGTTGTGGTTGAAAGGATTTAAAGAGTTATAGTTGAATCTTATTATTTCCTATTTAAAATCATTCCTTCCTGTCCATTGTCATTCCAGACAATTTCTATTTAACAATCTTTATTCACATTCCCTTCCCCGTTCAGATTCACCCTGAATGATATTCTTATTCTGTTATTCACGCACCCTTGTGCTTTTCCCTTATCCCTGTTCTGAACAATTCTTAACCATTCTGAACGAAAGTCTTTTCAGTGACAACTTATCCAGGACAGTTGAGGCTCATCCAAGACGACCCTAGTCTGTCACTATAAATAGATGAACATAGCTACTATCAAAAAGTTGAGGTGGGGAAGCATAAAAGGAGTAGTAACAAGAACCTTGCATTGGGCACCATTGAAATACCTACTCTGATAGCCTTTTGTCTGGGCAACCTATGGGGGAGAGTGTGGAGTGTAAAATAATATATACAATAAACAAGTCTTTGAGAATCCTTATATTAAAATATACATCAAAAAAATACTCCAAAGTTACTATTAAAATGATAAAAGTAAGCTATTGTTATCAAAACCAGAAAAAGGGGTAATTATGGGTAATAATATAAAAATGATGATGTAATAATACAACTGAGAAGCCTCCTGCTGCATAGTACTTTCCTTTTTATCTATAGGTGATACTTTATTTAAGATAATAAAATAATAAATGTCAAATTTCAATCATGAAGCAAAAGTCTCCAAAATTTTTACCTATTAGATTTTTATCAGCCCTGGGAAGGTAGTCCACCATCACTACTTTCAAATCAGGTAATTAGATTCCCAGGGAGATTAACCCATCTGCCCTGCACACACACCTTTTGTGATCAGATCACCCATTTACACAGATCATAGTAAATTTCACTACATATACAAATGTTGTTATTTTTTTCCCTTTATATAGCAGTTTTTTAAATTTTGCACCGTGATTTAATTTGGGTTCCATGGTCTAATGGTTATGACACGAGACTCTGAATCTCGTAATCCGGGTTCGATTCCCGGTGGGACCTTAGCTTTTTGCTCATTAAAAGAACTTGTACAATCATTTTTCGTTTACTCACATTTTTATAGCACCCTTCTATTTAATTTCCATTATTTAATGTGTTGCTTTTATTTCGAGTTCTTTCATAATACCAGATTTACCATGTTCTCTATTCATACTGAGGGAGCAAATCATTTGAGACAGTTTCTAATGAGTAGATAGATTACTTTATGAGCAACACATTCACATTTGCTATATCTTTTCCTTTTCAATGCTTGTCGTAAATTATTTACGTACCACTCCTATTTTAATTAACAATAATTTGTGCGGTATATCCAAACAACCCCGCACAACAATAACTCTTTCCATGTAGCCAACTTGTCGTTTCATAACTTGGAAAGTTGATCTGCACAAGTTGCCATCCTGAGTTTACATTTTATTAGAGACTGCTACAGTATTTAATAACCCACATGTGGAACGTTACTGCTAACATAATACTGCATAAAGTAATCAATTTTATGCACATACATAGGCAAATGCAACACATTTAAAAATTTATAGTCGAATTAGCAAAATATTAAACAAGAGCAATCACAAAAAGATGTATGATTATATAATTATAAGCCACCACATGGTTTATAAACATACCTCACTCTCCCCGCAACTAAAATTTGAAACATTGGCATTACGTTATAATTGAGTGTGATTATGCAACTTTAAACGCATATGCCAAAAGCTTCAAAAACAAATTAAATAAAAGTTATATAACCAGAATTATTGACAGAGGTTAAAAAGGCAATTAGATCGCTTGTATTTACTGGAATGAAAGTTTGGGCATTGGTTATATATAGCGGATAGCATATATACTACCATGTGGCTGTAATTTGTGATGGTATGATAGCGTCCATATGGTCAAATCTAACGCTCAACCAAACAGAACTGACAAATATTGCTGCTATTTTATATGTGTGAAACGCCAAATTCTTGACGCAGGTGGTTATTTTTTGATAGAGAAATCAAGTATATTATTATATGTACGAAAATTTGAACCTGACGATTATATAAAGATCATGATCTGGCTACAGTTCTTTTTCAACATGACGAATACTCACCCTAGATCCTTTTCTAATCACTAAATTTACGCTTAATAACATAAAGGACAGCAACAACCACTGTCAACAAAACCGTCAACAGTCAGTGAAAATAGGATATCCTTGATTGAAATGAAGTTCCTGTCCCTAATATTCGCAGTTGCTGCAACATCAGCATCTCTAGGTTGCCTCTCGGATGGTCGCTTTCTAAACTTTGGAAAAGCCGAAAACCAAAACAATAATAAGCAGCAAGGCCTTGAGAAAAGACAAATCACAACTACGGTCTTTCCCGTCACCACTGTGGTCAATGTTATCCCAACCGCCTTTTTGACTGTTACTCGACCTCCAGTCATTGTGACATTCAGGCCCACGCCAACTCAGCCCTCTGTTATACCACCGGCCAGTAGCAGCTCTCGAGCTATTGTAACTAGTGGACCCCCACTACCATCTGAAAGTCTTAGCTCTTCCTCAGTTGCAGCAAGATCTTCCGAGTCGTTTGTATCTGCAAGCGCAGTTCTTGCTTCGGAGTCTGAAAGGAGTTTCAGCCAATCTTCGGCTAGCTTTATTTCTGCCAGCTTGGCAAACCGTGATCCACGTATTATTAGCTCGGAATCTTCACTCTCAGTTTATCAGAGGTCTACTTCATCTGAAGCTGCCTACACTGCATCTACAGCCTCAGCATATCAGAGATCTACTTCGTCCGAAGCTGCTTACACTGCATCTACAGCCTCAGCATATCAAAGATCTACTTCGTCCGAAGCTGCTTACACTGCATCTACAGCCTCAGCTGCATCAGCCGCGTCGGTTGCCTCTGAAGCTGCTTACACGGCATCTACAGCTTCAGTTTATCAGAGGTCTACTTCATCTGAAGCCGCTTATACTGCATCTACAGCCTCAGCCGCGTCGGTTGCCTCTGAAGCTGCCTACACAGCATCTACAGCTTCAGCGGAATCTGCATCTTCAGAATCTGCCTTCAGACTTACAGCCCGTCCAAATCCATAAACTATATTAACGAACATGGAGGCACTACTTCACAACATCCAGAGATTACTGTGAAGTGAATTCTATTTCATCTTTGTCCAGAATTCCTTTAAACTATATTCCAGGCCAGTTCTCATTGTTGTCCGTGGGTTTGGGCTCCCTCTTCATATACCATCAATAACATATTAACCCCATACATTTTTAATTTGTTTATACATGAATCATCCGGTCTTTTAAAGCTCATGTTAACATTTTTTCAATAATCCCAGATAATATTAAATAATAATAACAATAATAATAATAATCGTACATTTAAATGTTTATTTGTTTAATTTGGTCAATTTTTGAAAGGCTTTGGGCAAAATGGGTCTCCGAGAGTAATTGCATATAAAATAGCTGATGATTGGGCCAAAATCTGATGAGGTCCCATTTCTGCCTACTACCATAGATTCGATCATTAGTGAAATCTTGCCATATGGTCAATAATTTTTGAAGGGTGAGAGTTTACTAGTAAAACTGGACATTCATTTGGCTGTGATTCCCCTATAATCACTGATCCCCAAAATTCACCCTTCAAAAATTATGATCCATATGGTGATGTATCAAATGTAGTTTTTTAAACATTCTAATTTATTAATATTATAAAAGTATAATAAAGATAAAAAAATAGTTTGAATAAATTCTTACAAGTAAATGCTCTTACTACTAAATCTGGTACTTTTGCCACTATTACTTCTTATACTGCTGCTAATGCCACTACTACCACCACCACGAGTGCCAGAGCTCCCGCCATGGAATAACCATCTGAAAAATCTAGACTTTTTAGCTACCCATTCCCAGAATTCATCCATGCCCGGATTAAACATGAAGGCCACGAAATTCAGTACTCCCTGCATAGCAACAAGCATTGCGTTGGCGGTATATGAATAAGGCCTGATGGCAAAACTATCGATAACAATAGTGTAGGTCCTGGTTATTATCGGAACAAGAGGGAACAGCATTACGCGGAGGATTGTTAGTTTTAGGTGGGTTCGATGCTGTTTGTTTGTTATTGACTGTGGTTGTGGCTGCAGTGGATAGTTGCCATAGCTGTGGTTGTAGTTGGAATTGTCGTGTTTTTTTGGCAGCTTTGAGCCTCTTCGCCATCTACTATGTTCATGTCTTTTTCCAGTTTTGGATTTGCCTTTAATTCCGAAACCTCGTTGATGCTGTTGGAGCTGGTTTTCGATTCTGTCTATAGTATTAGCATCGTTAATACTTTTGCTTTTTTTGCTTTGGTGATCGTCATCGCCAAACTGCTGATCAACTTCATTTGAGTTTGGTTCTTCGAACTGTGGTTTGAGTTGTAAACTTTGGCGTGGACTTTTTGATGTTGTCAAGTAGTAGCTGGGAGTATGGATTCCACTACCACCATCATCCTCTTGTCCTTGGGAGATGATCCCCATTTCTTCTTTTTCCAAACGAATCATATCTTCTAAACCAAATTTTCGATGGCTATTATCATTGTTATTCATCAGTTCTTGGTCTTGCTGATATTTGCTGTGCAAGTGGTTTCCAGACTTTTTACCAAGACTGAGTATACTTGATTTACTGTTCAGCGAATGTAACCTCTTTTTGGATATTGATGATGAAAGAGATAGCGATAGTCTTGGGCCATTTTCTATATTGTTGTTATTTCTACCAGAAACATGGCTGTTGTTGGAGTTGTCGTTTTCTGAATACAATAGTCCTGGGAATGTATGTTGGAATTGAGGCTGTGGCAAATTCTGCTGGTGTTCCTGGTCCTGTGTTTGGCGTGGCGGTATTTGATGTTCAATTAATAGCGCTTCTGTTGCAACAGTGTCTTTCCCTTTAGTATTATATATATGGCTAGTGTTTGAGAAATAGGTACCATCAACATTCTCACTACCTTGCGGATACTGATTCTGAGGGTAATATGCAGGATACTGTTGGTGATAATCTGGCAATATAGTGGCAGATGAATTTGGATAACTAAGCTGCTCAACGCTAAGTGGCTTAGTCCACCTCGACAACAAATACAGCTTGGCCACCAATATTGCACACACAATAATACAGTAGACCAGCGTGATAATCATCCAACTTAACACACAGCCCCAAATCAGCCCAGTCAATGTCTTTTCCGGAGCAAATGAAGCGATTAGTTGAACATCGGGTTCCCATGCCGTCATGATTTTGTACATAAAGGGTTGGGTCAGGGCTAGTGCCAATACAATACAAACTGTTTCATAGAATGGATTAAGCTTGGCTGCCCAATGAACCTTGCTATGGAGTACGGTTAGTTGTAGATGTAAAACGATGCAGCTGGTCAGGAACATGAAAACTAAGCCCGAGAAATATAGCATCCATTGGATTGCTCTTAATCCTTTATCTGAAAATGTGAGCATATGGATATGACAACTTTGGACGATCTTCAGGGTTGAATATATTATGTCAGATAGGGCGATCCAGGCAGATAGACGAAATGAAGGTTTTAGACCCATGTTGGGTTTGGAGATTACCATGGTTATTACCATGATGACTACGATGATCGAAAGGCATATGGAGATGGCGTTTATGGTTACGAAAGCGTATACTGCATTGCCAAGTTTGCTGTTGTAGAAAAGTTGGTCGCGGTGTTGGTAGCTTGTGGTTTGAGTTATGGAGTCGAGGCCAAGGAGTTGTAGTAGGTCGGGGTCTGTTCCTGGTAGACCCGAAAGGTCATTACCATTGTTGTTGCTGCTACTGCTTCTGGACATTTATGTGTGTAGGTGGTGGGTTATATATGGTTTACCCAGAATATTTTAAGGTACTATTATTACTATGTTGATGGCTGTGGAAGCTTGATATATCACCGAGTTAAAAAATAACACACCTTTAGTAATCGAGATGTGTGGGTGGCGGAATTTTAGATAAAAGAGATTAAAGTATATATAATAAATAAAGAAAAATGATAGAA